CTGGACACATTAGAGAGCAGAGAGTCTATTTCCATGGGGTTGACACACCGATAGATGAAAGCCTAGAGTGTCCAGGCGCCACTTTTTCAACAAGTATTTCTGATAGGATATCAAGGTGCAGGGTGTTACCAGGAGGCTGACCGGCTAAAGAAGAGAGGGAGAGAATGACCCAAAAAGATGTAAGTTTGTGTCTTCTGCACCAACTGCAGTACCCGCATAGAACACGCATTCAACAGCTGCTTAGTGAATCAGTAAATGGAGGCTTTAAAAATGTGTATTTTGGCCGGGCACAGTGGCTCATGCTTGTAATCCCAGCACTTTGGGAGGCCAACATGGGCAGATTACCTGAGGTCAGTAATTTGATACTAGCCTGGCCAACATGATGAAACCTCATATCTACTAAAAATACATAAATTATCCTGGCATGGTGGTGGGCACCTGTAATCCCAGCTGAGGCAGGAGAATCACTTGAACCCAGGAGGCGGAGGTTGCAGTGAGCCAAGATCACACCATTGCACTTCAGCCTGGACAACAAGAGCAAAACTCAGTTTCAAAAAAAAAAGGTATTTATAAATATGATATAGTACTACAACTATATATCTCATCACTTATGAGATAAGTATGACTTACATGTCACTTAAAAAAAGTCACACTTTGAGATTTAAAAAACATCACATGGGATCTACGGTTCTACAGAAATTTCAAAACTGGCAGATTCCAGGTGTCCTTCGGGTTGGGGATTTTTGGGAGGATCACACTGGGCACCCCGTATTATTTCGCACTGCCATTTTCCTTGAATGTCTGAAGACATCCATGAATAATAGTAAATACATCTCAGTACTAAATACTGTACCCAACTGGATGAGCAATTTCTTTTCCTTTAATGGTCGATGCTATAGAAACAATCGCGGTACAACAGCAGAAATCACTTCCAAAGTCTCAGAAGCTTATTTTCTAGGGGTTGATGCAGTGAGGCAGTGGGTCTGATTAAGTTGCAAAAACAGCAAAAGTGGCATAAATTAAATTGCCATTTTAATCAAATGGGAATCTAACATGTAAAAAGATACATCAAACATTTGTCTTAACACTGTGCCCCCAGTCAGTCCAGAACTTCTGCGTGTCTGCTACTGAGCAGAACTGACAAGCCAGCCACCTTTCTCCACTTCACTCCTTTCTTTGGTTAATAAACGATACTGAGAAATCTGGAGAGTTTACAGATCTGGCCATGGGTAATTAGCTCACTTGACCTCTCTCCCTCTCTCTCTTTTTTTTTTTTCCATGTCTTCACCTATATCAAGAACCAACATATGTCCTAAGCTTTCATTAAATTAAACAAATTACTCAGAGGTATTAGCAATTCTCTTCTCACATGCTGAGAATATAAAGGTGTTGCTGGTAGCTGGAATTTGTCTTGGGCTGTTGGGGAATTGAAAGAAAAGAATGCTGAAGAGAAAGGAAAAGAGGGGGAAGAATTGAGCAGGCAGGGTTTCTGCCATAACAGAATGTTTGCACATTTCTCCTTCCTAAGCTGTAATAATAAACAAGCCAGGCAGGAAGGCACCAACTCCCCTCTCCCTCAGATTTGTCTTTTCCTTTCCCTGGTGCCTCCCAGATCCTGCCCCTTGCGCCTCTGCTGTGCTCTTTGTGGCAGTGCCACATCTTTCCAGAGTCCCCTGAGCCTGACCAAAGGACAGTTTGTGCAAACGAACCCCGAGTGTAGTAGGACTAAAGGGAAGCATCTCTTATACCAGAGGATGGAGAAAGGTTGCAACACGCACGCACATGCACATGTACAACGTGCAATTTTCTAACCCCTTAAGAAATTCCGGCCAGAGTTATTCAGCTAGACTTCCATCACCTTTGCCTTCATGACAGAGCTACCATGGTGGTGATTTCAGCAGCACAGGCTTAAGGAGATGGGGCTGCCTCATAGCAGCCAGCATGTTTGCTAAACAGGTGCCATCTCTCTTTATTCTCCCATCTCCTTTCTAAACCTGTCTGTCTTCCCCATCTCAGATACCCTCTTGGTTCACACTGTCCGCCAGCTGTTCCCTTTAACCCTTCCTCTTCTTAGGAGGGAAATAGTATTTTATAGTGATCTTCCTAAGACAGCAGGCAGAAAGGAGGTAAGAATGTGTGTGTAAGGGGAATAGCAGCCAATCACATAGCAGGTGCCCAGTTGACATCTGTTGAATGGCTGACATGCAGAAAGGTATCTGGATAACTCACATAGACCCAAAAGAGCTTTAAATGCAATATAGAAAAAATATATATATATATTGTTCTTTCCCCACTCTCCTATCCCATTCTACTCACCTTCTGGCTTCTCTAGACACTCTCCCCCACCCCACCCCCAAGAACTGTGGATCTAAAAATACTGCTTTAACTTGGCTAAGCCTCGGAATAATTAAATAAGGCACATGGCTGGATGAGTAGAGGGCTCACTTTATGGGAGAGAACCCCAGATCACTGCCAAGTGGAGATCTGGAAAGCAAGCTCTCTTAGACCTGATGTCCCATAAGCCACATCTTCTAAGACTGCAAAAATCCCCAAATTGCCAGATCTTTATTGGTCAGTTTTAGACTGCAGGCATCTATTATACTAAAGAAATAATAACTGCTGTCATCCTTGAGCACCTTTTATGTATTAGCTACTTACAGAAAATAATCTCACTGAATTGTACAGTAACTCTCGTTTTATCATCATACTCCATAGTTGGGTACATTGACATTCAGGGAGATTAGAGACCTGTCATAATAACACATAGAAAGCTGGCAGAGTCAGGATTTGAACCCAGATCTGCCGAGTTCCCAACTGTACACTGGGGTACCTCACCTGAGTAGGAGAGTGGCTTCATTCAAATCTGCCTTCAACAAAGGGTGCAAATGATTCAACTACTGCATTTTAGAATCCGAGCCTGATCATTTTTCCTGCAGGCCAGCTTTTCTCTTAGGAAAGTCCCATTTTGCCTGTTACAGAGGCAGCCGTCCCCACAGAAAACCCCGGTGACCCATTAAAATGTTTTCATGAAAACTGCTTCTGGCCAGACCAATAGGAACAAAGTTGAGGATGCAAACTGCGGCCCCTGGTGATTTAAGGAGCTGTTGGCTTTACAGCCTAGTGGGGCTGGGACAGGTATAAATGTTATTAGGCAAAGCCACAGAAATAACAAACCAAATTAAGCTTTAATCTCCAAACCGTTGTAAGGATAATGAGTGTACTTTATAATAATTGCCAGAAATGAGAGCAGGGAAGAAAATACTGGAAAAGGCCTCGGTTCCAGTTTCTTCATTTGCAAACCAGGGACTATAGTGCCAGCCAAGCCCCTGAGCCTACAGAGGGCTGGAATAAAAATGCTTTGCAATTCATGGGCTGGGATCAGATTTAAAAACAAATGTGCTTTACCAGTGGGTCAGCCAGCCTCAGGCGGATTCCTGGTAGTGCCCAGGATGAACCCAAGAACCATGCCCCCCACCCCTAAGCAGGTTCTGGTACACATTTTTTGCCTTATACTGGAAATCCAGCTGGCTTACCTAATGAACTTCCCTGCAGCACTCATCTCCAAGCTGAAGGGACCCTGGACAAGTCCCACCTCTGTGGCTGCCACGGCAGGCACTCCCAGCCTTCTGAATTCAGTAAACCACCTGACGGTGTCTCCCTGGCCTCTCCTTTCTGCGGTATGTTTGTTTCATCATGTCAGTACCCCTAAGTGGAGAGCATTCCCCCATCCCTGGGACTGTCATGTCCAGGAAGTAGAACACTGACAGGGGGAACTGGCTGCCACTCCTATCCACACCCTCATTTTGGCCTTTGCCTTTCCAGCTCAGAAGAAGAAAGATTTACCTGTAGAAGCAGGAGGAAGCAGGCAGAGTGCCTAGGGAAGACCAGAACAACCTCAATAGTTACAGCCACTATGAACATCTGTGTGCAAGCATCTGCTTGAATATCCGTTTTCAGTTATCTGGAGTATAACCTGGGAGTGGAATTGCTGAGTCATAGGATATGATTCTATTTACATAAAATATCCAGAATAGGTAAATGTATAAAGACAGAAAGCAGATTGGTGGTTGCCAGGAAAGGGCAGGATGGGGAGTGATGGCTTAATGGGTGCGAGGTTTTCTTTTTAGATGATGAAAACGTTTTGGAACTTGATTGAAGTGGTAGTTGCTCAATATTGTGTAGGCACTGTCACTGAATGGTACACATCTATTTCTTTGTTTGGTTTTTTTGAGGCAGAGTCTCACTCTGTCGCCGGGCTGGAGTGCAGTGGCCTGATCTCAGCTCACTGCAACCTCCACTTCCTGGGTCCAAGCGATTCTCCTGCCTCAGCATCCCGAGTAACTGGGACTGCAGGTGCACAGCATCACGCCCAGCTAATTTTTATATTTTTAGCAGAGAAGGAGTTTCACCATGTTGGCCAGGATGGTCTCCATCTCTGCCCACCTCGGCCTCCCAAAGTGCTGGGATTACAGAAGCGAGCCCCCCCGGCCCAGCCTGAATGGTACATATTTTTAAGGCCTCAGTCACCTGAGACTTGCCCTTCGAGGGAGATGCAATGTGAAGTCAAAGCAACCAACAGCTTAAGGAGCCCAGGCACCTTGATAGTGAATGCAATTACAGCACAGTCATCTTTAGGGAGAGAAGGAGGTAGTTGGGTAGTTGCAGGATCATGGAAGTAAAAAATCTTTATACTATTGACATGACCATTGTCCTTTCTTAAAACACAGTAAGTCTTTTAAATATTTTTCCACGAATAATATTCCCAGTCCTAAGTATAAAATGCTATACAGTATTTCTGATGTATCTCAAAGTTCAGCTAGGCCTAAAGAAGGGGAAAGGTGAGTTTATATGCACATGTTTGGGCCTTTTCAATACTCTCCCTTTAATATAAGGGAGGGGCTCTTTTCCTCCCTGGCTGAGGATAGGCCACCATCATGAATGGCATAGTAACTATCTGCACTAGAAAGTTCATGACCAACTGACTACTTCAGAGGAAACAAATGGTCATTGATGTTCTTCACCCTGGGAAGGCAACAGTGCCTATGACAGAAATTCGGGAACAACTAACCAAAATGTATAAAACCACCCCGGATGTCATCTTCGTATTTGGATTGAGAACTCATGTTGGTGATGGCAAGACAACTGGCTTTGGCATGATTGATGATTCCCTGGATTATGCAAAGCAAAAGGAACCCAAACATAGACGTGCAAGGCATGGCCTGCATGAGAAGAAAAACACCTCAAGAAATTAACGAGAGGAACGCAAGAACCGAATGAAGGAAGTCAAGGGACTAGAAAGGCCAATGTTGGTGCTGGCAAAAGTGAGCTGCAGATTGGATCACCGCCACAGGAGTAAAGGTGCTGCCATGATGTTGTCTGTGGCCGTTATGGATTTTTTACGAGAAACTTAATAAACTAAAAACTTTAAAAAAAAAAAAGAGAGAGAGAGAGAGAAAGGGGAGGACATTTTGAATGTGTTTCTATTTGCTTGCAAGGTTTAGTCTCATTCTGTGCACATATTAAACCTCAAGTATACGATCTTAGTATACATTAATGTATAGTATTTGTTTGTTGTGGAGAAAATTAAATGAGACAAAGCAGTCTTATTTTGGGAGAGTGCTTGTGAATTGTCAGGCTCTGTTAAGAAATAACTTAAAAAGTAGGCTGATTGCGGTGGCTCACACCTGTAACCCCAACACTTTGGGAGGTCGGGGTGGGCAGGTTACTTGAGGTCAGGAGTTCAAGACCAGCCTGACCAACATGGTGAAACCCCGTCTCTAAAACAAATAAAAATAAAAAAATTAGCCGGGCATGGTGGCAGGCATCAGTAATCCCAGCTACTTGGGAGGGTAAGATGGGAGAATCACTTGAACCCCGGAGGCAGAGGTTGCAGTGAGTCAAGATCGCACCACTGCACTGCAGCCTGGGCGACAGAGTGAGACTCTGTCTCAAAAATAAATAGATAAATAAATAAATAATAAGATAAGCCAGGTGTAGTAGCACAGACCTTAATCCCACCTACATGAGAGGCTGAAGCAGGAGGCTGGCTTAAACCCAGGAGTTAACAGTTACGATTGCACCACTGCACTCCAGTCTGGGTGACAGAGCAAGACCCCATCTCAAAAATAAATAAGCAAGTAAATAAATAAATAAAAATTATTAGCTGAAAGAATCTTATTTTTTAAAAGTGTATGTAATTAAAATCATTACTTGCATATAGATATAAAGTGATCCCATGTCAAAGATTTTTTTTTTAACTCATTAACAAAGGAATCCAGCATTTAAACCAGGCAATGTTGTAGCTATTACAAAAGAGAGTTCAAACCAGAACTCAAAATTCCACACATTTATAGTCAGATGAGAAATGCTCAAATGCATTGACAAATGGCTGAAAAACTGGCAAAACTGTTCACTGTCAGGAGGGTGATCATCAGCTGCATTCCACTGGACACAATTTGCATTCCTGTGGACAGGGATTACGACCATTAGTTTCCTACAGGCAAGTATCTATCTCTACAGAGTTATAAAACAACCTTGTCAAAGATAAAGGCAGAGGGTGGAGCTAGCCAGGACTCCCAGTAAATTTCAAAACCAGCCACAGTTTGTTCCTAGATTTCTAAAGTCTGGGTATGCTTTAAATGCACAGCATGAGGCTGTGCTGCCCAGAGCGCCTCCATCTAGCCTGCAGGGTGCTGCCGTGTCCCTCCAGGGTTACAGAGAAGATAACTTCATCTTGCAGGTAAGAAAGCCAATTTCTGCATTTCCCTGTGCTGGATTGTCAAAGGGCTTTTCTCCCAGCACTGACAAGGTTTCCTGTCACCACATGGTGACTTCCCTTGAGTGAGTGGCAAAAATGGGGCTAAAAGGCAGCTAAAACAATTCCCCTTGCCAGTAAAATTTGTTTGGCCCCTTGCTCCTGTTTCTTCACACCCCCTGGTTCATGTCCTCTTTCTGATTCCTGCCAGGCGGGTCTTTACCCACATGACCCTGATATTCTTGGGCTCAGCTCTGCCCTGGCCTCAGCGCCTTGCTTGCTGGGAGAGCCTGTTGAGCTGTCGCCCACAGCTGCATCCCTGTATTCACTTGCATTGGTGCTGCCATCCTGGCTGACTCAGCCTGGCTGACCCCTCTGCACCCCTAGCTGGGCTGGTACCATTATTCTGTTTCCCTGACATTCCCCGTCATTCAAATGTTGCCTCCGTGAATCCTGTCGAGCCAGTTGGTGGGATGGCTCCTGGCTGGGGTAAAATTATCATTAGCTGTTTGAAACAAAGAGATATACACTAGAGACCCCAAATGAGTTTCTTATCCATGTTGAAAGCCAATTTTCTGAACTTGAAGCTAGGATCTGGATAGAGATCAGAGGCAGAAGGAAGGTGCATAAGGTGAGTACAGACCCCAGAAAAGAGGCTACTGCCTAGACTGGGAAGGTGGGGACGTTCTGTATGAGTCAAGGTTCTCCAGAGAAATACGGCCAATAGGATGTATACAGAGAGAGATTTATTTTAAGGAATTTACTTAAGAGTTTATAGGGGCTGGCAAATCCAAAATGGCAGGAATGGCAGCAAGCTGGAGATCCAGGAGGGAGATGTTGCAGTGTTGCTGCTCAAGTCAGAATTCTTGCTGGTGGCAGGAGGGAAGGTCAGCCTTCTGTTCTATTCAGGCCTTCAACCCATTGGATGAGGCCCACACACATTATGGAGGGTGATTGCTTTTCTAAAAGTCCTTAGATTTTAACATGCAACTCATCCCCCAAAATAACCCTCCCCAAAATGTCCAGAACCATGTTTGATCTAGACACCTTGGCCCGGCCAAATTGGCATGTAAAATTAACCATCACACACGCTCAGGACTATAGCCTGAGTCTTGGGAGCCAGCGAGTTCAGAGTCCAGAGTCTTCAGCTGAAAAACAAGGCTGATACTGGGAGAAGGTGAAGGAAAACATGGCTTCAGAGTGGCCAAACAGAAGGGCGGCTAGGGAAATCCAAGCTGAGTCTTATTACGATTACTCCCGGGTCCTGCTCCTCTAATGACTCTCTCTGCTCCCTAGGGAACCTTGTCACCTGTGCTGCCTCCAGGCTGCTCAAGGAATTTTTATTGCATTGCTAAAAAGTGCCAAGAGAGCTCCCTGTGACCTTGCCTAGCTAAACTACTTTTATGGGACCTGGCCGTCAGCCCGGGTCTCTGGGTTTTCTTCTCTTCACTCCTGTCAGTCACTCTTCTTCAGAGGTTGACCAAGTGGTTACAAGGGAGAGTTCTGGGGCAGGCAGCCCGCTCTGCAGCAACTGTGAAAGGATGAGCACTGAGCACAGAGGAGGTTCAACCCCACTGGGACTAGTGACTCCTCTGTCTGGGGCTTCAGGGCCTGTGTAGTAGGTTTAATGGTGACCCCCTCCCCGCCTCAAAAAAAAGGTATGCTCATATCCTAACCCCCACAGCCTGCACATGTTACATTATTTAGCCAAAGAGTCTTCACAAATGTAATTAAGTTAAGGATCTCAAGGTGAGATAATTCTGACGTGCAGGCAGATCCTAAATCCAGTGACGAGCTTCCTTGTAAGAGAAAGACAGAGGGACACCTGAGGCAGAGAAGAAGGCCTTGTGAAGATAGAGATAGAGATTGGAGCTATGCCGTCACGAACCACGGCATGCCTAGAGCCACCAGCAGCTGGAAGGGGCAGGGAATCCCCTAGAGCATTGGACACCTTTGATTTCAGACTTCTGGCCTCCAGAACCGAAAGAGAATGAATTTCTGTGAAGCCACCAAATCCATGTTAATTTGTTACAGCAACCTCAGGAAACTAATACACACTGTTGATGGCCCTTTAAAGTTGTCTGAGACACTATGGATCCAGGCTTTTGAGAGTAGTAACATAAAAGCTATCAAGTGGCCAGAGGCAAAGCAAATGCGGTGTCCTCACTGTATAGAAGCTGCACACAGAGAGAAGCTATATGCATATAGAAGCTATACAGAGCTACAATGACATATAGAAGCCACATGTGTTAGTTTATCCCTTCAACAGGTCTTTATTGAGCACCCATGTGCCACAGCATCGTCTTAGGTGCTTATTCTACCATGACGATCAAAACATCCTAGGACGATGCAGCTTCAGAGACGATTGTCCCCAACATTCCTTGGTCCAGGTCAATCCTTATCAACAAATGAACCATCTGGTGAGCTGTGCTGTGTGCAGCGCTCTGTGAGGCAGCCAGTTGGATTCAGGGCCGCTCTTACCCCTGATGGGCCCAGCCTGGCCTTCTGCTCCAGTTTGCTGCATCACCCTCCTCTCTTGGCTCTCTGGATCCTCTCCAGGATCATTCGTCTGGTCCCCAGAATTCATTCCCTGCCAGAGCCCTTGCTTCCCAGCCCAGCTCGCAGTAGATCCCTTGTGGGAGTTAAGTTTGAATGTCCTAGCATGGAGTCACATGGCCTGAGTTCGATCCCTGGCCTCACCATTTACCAGCTCAGTAAATTTAGAGAAGTATGCATTATTTCTTAGCCTTGATTTCCTCATCTATAAAATGGACTAATAGTGTCTGCTGCATAGGATTGTTCAATTAAATAAGGTAATGTCTAGCTTTCAATCAATGCTTAATAAATAATAGCTATGATTATTTTAGCAGAAGTGGCCCACTTCTTAGTTCTCTGTCTCCCATCAGGAGGCCTGGGGTCTCTTCTGCTCTAACCTGAGAAATTGTGTTTTTCCAATATGAATGAGGAAGTCACCTTTCAGGATGTGTGAGGTGTCCAGGTGCAGTGGCTCACATCTGTAACTCTAGGACTTTGGAAGGCCAAGGCAAGAGGACTGCTTGAAGCCAGGAGATCAGCTAGGAGGGAGCCAGGGTCCACGGCTCTGCCACCCGGATGCTCAGACCACTTCGTTCCACACCTACAGGGACAACGAGAGCTAGACACATGCAGTGTTCTTCTATATGTTGAAGAAGGATCAGAACTGGGATTTGGGGATGCTCCTAATTCTCCCCTGTGGGAGTCCCAAGTTTTAAATTCATTAGAAATGACACTTAGGGCCAGGCACGGTGACTCACACCTGTAATCCCAGCACTTTGGGAGGCCAAGACAAGTGGATCACCTGAGGTCAGAAGTTCAAGACCAGCCTGGCCAACATGGTGAAACCTATCTTTACTAAAAATGCAAAAATTAGCTGGGCATAGTGGAAGGGGCCTGTAATCCCTGCTACTTGGGAGGTTGAGGCAGGAGAATCTCTCAAACCTGGGAGGCAGAGGCTGCAGT